TAAAATGAAGTAAGTTTTTTTTTTTTTTCAATTGTGTAACCATCCTTTGGTTACTTTTGTTAGAAAGTAGAATAATTTTTTTATTCAAAGTCTATTCACACCTGGTCGGGCAAAGACAATGCAGTGAGAGTTTCCGGGTACTGGGAGGAAGTCAAACAGAGTAAGTGGCATCCTGCCCAGAGAGGTGTAGGCCAAAGTCTCCAGGTTTGGGAGCCTGATGTGCCCTGATATCTCATTGTTCGGCCTCTCAATATTACCTGGGCCTGCTCCACAGCCCTGGCAGCAGCAGGGAACCTCTGCACCTTCTCCAGTAGGCTTCCATGGGGAAGGGGAAGGGCTGACACAGGTCTCACAAATGAAAGTCCAGATCTCCTCAGAACTCCGCTCCATCCTTGCCTTATGAAAATCTTGTTGAACAGAAGGCTTCGTGTCGCTGCTGAAATATTCGTGTTTGCATTTTTGTCTTAGTGTCTGTGTTTTCCCTAGAATAGATGATGTACATCTCACATCCCCTTGACTTTCTTTTTTTTTTTTTTTTTTTTTTTTTTTTTTTTTTAAAGATTTATTTATTTATTCATACAGAACTGGGGTACAGGCCAGAGACGCGGAGGGTGAGAGGATTCACCAGAGACAGAGCAGGAAGCAGAACAGGCAGATCAACGAAGTACACTGCTGAGGGGAGCAGCGGGCGGGTCAGGAGAGGTCTGCCAGGCCATGTGGATTCCTCCGGGGCAGACGGGAATCAAACTCATGTGGAAGTGGTTTAAGCTTCTCAGTGCAGTGCTTTAACCCGCTGCGCCACCAGGGAGGGCCCCCCCTTGACTTTCTAATGACCTTCTCAAACAAACAAAAAAAAAAGACTTACTCTAAGAACCTTTGCTCGTGAATGGACCAACAATCAAATATAAATAATTGTGGAAAGAAATGAAAGAATGAAGTGTCTCTCAGCTGACATTCCCCACAAATTAGTTTTATTTTCATTTGCTTCCACCTTGAATGTTCAACTATGCAAGAGCCAATACTAGACATGGACTTTGAAATTAATTTATATGTGTCAAATGAGAAAAGCTTATAAGAATTTATCATGCACTACTAAGATAGACTGCTAAAGGAGTAGACTCCTGGCTGTGTAATTTCAATAATTAAATTGGCCACAGATTCAAAGATTCATGTGAGTGTTTTCATATCCAGCCTAAAGAATGAGCTCTGGTTGGTAGTTTTTGATGATACTAAACAAACAAAATGAACCTTTTTATTGTTCCTGAATGAGACTCAGGAACAGAATTAAGCCAAGCAATGGTCTGATGGTGAGTTTTTAAATAATAGAGGGGTTTGTACCATACAATATACCTAACATACAATGACTGATAAATGTCAAAGCTCTTAGAGATTTTTTTTTAAAAGTCAAGGTTAAGCATATCTTGTCTCAACTTATACCACCTGAGAGAACTGAGAGACGCTGGCTGTTATGTTTAAGTAATAGCAAGATGCACGGACCTACAAATACAGATTCAGCCAGCCCAAACCCCTCACTGTCACCCAGGAGTGCTATCTTCTTTCAAAAGCAAAGTTCCTTCCATTGGAGCTGTCTCTGGTTTGCAAAGAGGAAGTCCCAGAAAGTGTGTGTACAGCAGGGCTACTTTTCTAGCTCAATCTGGGGCTGGAGGCAGCACCAATGCAGGGAAGCACCGAGGCTTCAGAGAGAGCATGAAGGAAGAAACCAAATGCCAACAAGGTCCCTCTACAAGCCAGTCACTTTGCTAAGTGCTAGTGCACTGGACTTCCTGTGTTGCCATGAAACATTGTTTTTCTTCTCTTTCCAAAGGAGAAAACAAAATACTACATGATTCGTCCAAAATCACACAGACAAAAAGTGGCAGTGAGATCTCCAATCCTAGGTCCTGTGAGCCGGAGTGTCGACACAAAGAACATGTGTCCTAAATTGTTTCCTCTCTGGTTGCATCTTACAAGCTTGTCTAACTAAATTAAACAGAGAACCACTGCATTCAGCAGTGTAAGCCACTCTAAATTGCCTCAGAGTCACTATGACAGGGTCCTTGGGCTCCTACTTGAGAGAGAATGACTGTTTTCTACATAATTAAATGTAGACCTTCAACATGTATCCCCATTTTGTTAAGCTGAACTTCACAGAAATATCTATCACTCGAGAATCAGCATTCTGGGTACCTTTGGAGTTCTTTGCAGTTCAGGATTGGCCTGTGGGGCACATATTCCTTGCCTTCTACCATGTCTATGGAGCATCACGAGAGAGGAGTCGCTGAACACAGAAGTCAAAACGAGTGTTAATTCTCATCTATTCCCAAACCCCATTTTTGAAGCAAACACTAATTTGAGAGATTTCATGTGCACCAGTTCACGTGAAAAGTACTACTCCACTTGAAAGCACATCCAAACACAGTGCTTGCAGAGATTATGAAAATTTTATTAACAAAGAAAATCTGCATTATACACATCCCTTTAAAAACAATTACCTCAAGCAGGTAGGCAATGCTTTCTTTTGTATTCACTGGTCTGTCAGTGCCAGAAGAATAAAACTGTAGCACCAAGTACAGGCTGATATTTATGAAAGGGATAATCATCTGAGATAATGAAGAATTAGAAAATCAGAAGAAACAAATCAAGGCATTCATTGCACAGACTGGATCACTGAGTCTTCATCCAAACCAATGTTTCTGTTGTGAGTCTGCAGGTGCAGTCATCACCTCTTTTAACACTATCCTGAACATAAAATGTACCTTGGAGAATACAATGGGCATCTGAGAGGAAGCCAGAACAGCAGCCAGCAGGATTTACAGAAAGGTATAGCTGCACAGTAGGAGTTCAGACACCGTGAGAAGAACAATCCGATTTTCAGGACAGGTCTTGAGTCCATTTCTGATTATCTCTAACTGCTCCACCCCACTGTTGTTCTTCAAACTCTCCTTCAGTTATTACTAAAAATCTAGAAACACATTCTAGATACACTGCACGCAAGAGGGGTGTTGCAAGAATATGAAGAGATTCTGATGTCCTGGGCATGACGAGAAAACATAAGAGGGTCTCACTGTCAAAACCACGCCAGGTGGAGCTGGCCACCCCTCAAACGAGATCACATGGACTTTTAACTCAAAGTGTCTGTGGGGGGGAGTTGTGTCTGTTACTTTGACTACAGTTTCTAGGGCCTGCTGTAGCTATATTTTTAGGCCTGGCTCCAAGGAGCTGCCTACACAAATTTGGAAGCAGCGAGGGAGGCACAGATGGTGATCACGTGAAGGCACAGACCGACTGAGTGGGCTCCTTACGGAGTCTGTTCATTTGGGCTTCTGTATCCCTCCCTCCTATTTCAAGTATTGCCAAGTCCTGGTTGTTCCCCCTCTTTCCAAAGTCTTGATTCATTTAATTCTCCTTAAGGAGGTGGACGTGGAGGAGGATTGCGCAAATCTCCCTATTTTATGGTTTGGAGGAGCCAGTCCCGCCTTGGCTCCTTGTCAGAACCGTAACATTTTGCTAAGTGTAAAGCTGTGTATCTGTTCCTTCTCTGTTGCCGTTATTGTAACTTCAATATTTGCAAAACACAACCTCAAAATACTTCAGATCCAGCCCCAAACAGTTTGCTATTCATGCAACAGGAGGCCTCCTGGTATCAATACTGGTGCAGCAACAGGGGGATCAGTAGTAGTTGTTACTGTTGCTTCTGCATAGTGTTTTTTTTTTTTTCTTTCTTGGGGGATTGAAGAATGATTCAGGCAGTATCAAAAATCCCCACTCATTAGGTGTATATGCTGATGATCATCAAGTTTATTATCCAGTGAGTTCTTACTGGTTGCTTTATTTACAAAGGAAGTTCATAAGCCAAGGCTAGTCTGCCCTTTGAAATACCCTGTGATTGGTCTGTAAAGCATAGAGCACCTTAGTGATGCATAGAATTTAAATTTTCTAATAAAGCCCCACCCCACCCCTAAGATATTCAGGACATTCCTCTAAGAAATCGCTGGTTTGTTATCATTAGCACTAAAGCACTAAGTTTCTCGCTCTAAAGAATAGTTATAGTATTTCAGATCCTCAGTCATTTTCTTCTTTCTGTAGGAAACTGTCAAGATCAAAATGGATTCAGTGTTGAGTCTTCTTAACAAGTCACATCAGGATGCCTGGTATTGTATCAATATAATTTTTGAGTGTGCTGAAGCCTTTGGCCCAGGGGTCTCATCTGTGAAGCTTTTAATGTTCCTTCTTGGCCAGAGCTAATGTGTAGGAGGCCATTTTTAAAGCAAGTCAACACATAAACAGGTTTTCACATCTGTTTATCTGGAGGACAAAAAAGAACCTTACAGTCCTCCCACTAACTAACTTAACAGTTTCCTTTTTACTTGGATATTTATGTGGTGTAGAAATTGACACTATGATCACATCAATGGGTTTATTCATCTGTCTTCTAAGGCAAACAAGAAAGTGGTTTTCTTTTAGGGTAGAATTTCATGACTAGTAAAGTATATCAATAGGCAATGTAGAGAGGGAAATTGAACTCAATTATTATCTTGAATTTGAGTTTTTGACAAACTTTCTCTACTAGAGAAAGCTCTTGATAACATTTATGCTGTGTGAGTCTGCATTCTGAGCTCCCTCCTGAAATCACGGATAATGTTCCCAGTGTAAAGATAACAATGGTAAGAGAAATTCTCCCACTACAGGGTACTTATGCTTTTTAAAGTCATAGCACTTAGATACAACTACCCCCAGCTCAGGAGGCCTGTGCTCAGGTAGTAACTTAAACATGAGTGTTAAGTCTCCTGGCTGATAACATACACATTAATAATAGGATTAGGTATCAGACACAGTCTCATGAATGGAACATATCGGCAATATCCAACCTTCCCCAAAAGTACTTAGCTGCCAACAGAGATCATTTACCACATATCACAAATGTGCTATTTGTATAAACATTTCCCATTACAAATGCTCTTGTTTTTGTTTAAATGAATATTTTTAACCTGAGAGCTATTAATAAAGTTTTGTTTTGTTTTTTGCTTCCTTTGCTTCCTTGTAAAGCTTGGCTTTCAGAAGAAAAGAATCTTCAAGCCTCCTCTCTTGTGAGAGTAATTTCTCCTAATACTGACAGCGCCACATAAGTACAGCCAGGGCTCATTAAGTAGACTTCTGAGCATAATTATAATTAACAATTAGCTAGAAATTAGTTTTAATGATTTGTTTTAGATGATAGAATAGAAACCTAATGTAATTATTTTTAAAGCGTCTACATCATTAAGAATACAACTATCGCTAGCTTTCAATTACTGAGAAACAGATAATCTTCCAAAGCCTTTAGTCAATGATCTACTTGCAGAGTCAGGCAGCCCCAGAGCAGGCTGCTTCCCTCCCGGGCCTCTGCTCCTTCCCTTCCGCTGCTTCAAGACTTGCAGACAGATCTACAAGGGACAACAGCAGGGGTCTCTGGCCCTCAGCCCTTCGCCCTGTCTCTACATTCTGGGCGACAGAGTAAGGACCAGCGTGGGAGGAGGACCGCCCCCAGGCAGACTCTACAGAATCCCGCGGACATGGGCCTAACTTCACCAGGCAAACAGCAAAGAAGGGCCTAGAAGTCACCGATACAGTGAGTGTGAGGCGTCGACTCCAGACTTAAAGACACATCTATGCCATTATTCCCCATTCAGCATTCTTCTAATATTCTGGAGTCAATTTGGATCTTATTTTCACCACAAGAATTTTTTTTTAAATCCTATAGAAGTCTGAAGAAAATCTCTTTCATTTCCTGAAAAAAAATACATTCATTTAGAAACGGTGAATAATACCTATGGCCAAACTTTTTTTTTTTTTTTTTAACCTCAGCTGTTTTCCCTCCTACTTTTGAGCAAGAACACTAGACCTTTTGCTGCTGGTCTTCAGAAGGTGTTAGCGAGCATATCCTGACACCCACATAAAAGACTTGGTACCTGTGTTCCCACATCACACAGCAGGCCCGCAAGCACACGAGGCCGCAGACCAAGTTAAGAATCATCTGGACAAGAAAGAAGAGTTTGAGGGTGCCAGTGACGCTGGCACAGTCGGTCACATCCCGATACACAAAGGACCTGCGCAGCGGCTCCTCCGAGGGCAGTTTGCATTGGCAGGACTCAAGGGCGGTCACACAGGTCAGCTGAATGAGCTGCAAGTAGTGGTAGGCAGCAAAGGCCGCGGCCAGCACGCAGACCATCAGGCCCAGGGCGCTGAGTAGGAAGTACAGCAGCTGCAAGAAAGCAGAGGAAAACCCTCCCGGTTTAAAGAACTTTGCATGACTACTGACAAAGTGAATTCATAAAAAACGGTCTTCTCCCTCACTCCATCAGTTCACTGATGGAGCAGCTGTTTCTCCTCAAAAATACAGTCCCCAGGGGAATAGAAATGGCTCCATGTTCATCTGTTACACGCAATCCTTTGACCCCAGTCATATTTCTATTTGCCACACAGCTTTTCATGGGCGCTCTTCATGGATGGGGCCAAGAGGATGAGCTCTATTGTGGGAGGTCTGTGTGTGGCTCATGAAAGTGAGCAGCTCGGGTGAATACTCAGGGGCGCAACATGATTGGTCCAACATGGATTAATAAAAAGATAATGTTCAAAGCAGTGGTTGCCAAACTGTGTCGAGGAATGCCAGGATTGCCAATAAGCAGTTGCTGGTAGAGGGGTTGCAGGGAGGGAAAGATGACAGCTCCAGAAAGCAGGTGACCGGATGGCACCTTCATCACCTATCAATCTCATTTCCAAGCCCACACAGCTCCTTGAACATGAAAAGAAATGCTACATGGTCTCTCACTGCTCACTTCTGCTGGCCAAAATAGTAGCCTTGGGATGACAAAAGAGTCTGGTACAAGTTCTAACTTTGATGCTAAGGAATGAGGGAGTCCTTGCACTATGCAGAACATCTAGCCTACAGCTGAACTATGTGGATCGAGATCGTCAGGCCTCATTGAAATGACTGGGATAGAAACTGTGTCACAACAAGAGAAGTTCGTACCTACTAGAAATGTTTTTCTTCATGGACCTTCCATGGAGAAAAGCACCATACTTCTGTCTGGGTTCTGGAGTCTAGTGTGGGCAATACACTTCTAAGTGCCAGCCTGACACGACCATAGACAAAAGTTACTCTTCACAAGGAGCCATTATGGTGACTGTGAACTCATGTATTCAGGTTGGATCTGGTCATTTCCAGATTCAGATCAAAGTGTCTGTGAGAAGATTATCTGCCACCTCCAATGATATGTAATTCAACATAAAAATATATGAATGGGGCCCTCCCTGGTGGTGCAGCGGGTTAAAGCACTGCACTGAGAAGCTAAAGCCACTTCAGCATGAGTTCGATTCCCGCCTGCCCCGGAGGCGACCACATGGTGTGGCAGACCTCTCCTGGCCCACCCACTGCTCCCCTCAGCAGTGTACTTCCTCGATCTGCCTGTTCTGCTCCCCACTCTGTCTCTGGTGAATCCTCTCACCCTCCGCATCTCTGGCCTGTACCCCAGTTCTGTACGAATAAATAAATCTTTAAAAAAAAAATATATATATATATGAATGTGTGTATATACATATATATGACTTTTGTGTGTACAACTTTCACCCAAATGAATGCTTTTCTACATAATGACAAATTTCAAGGATTTTCAAGTCTTCAGCATGCAATAGGTTAAATCTTTATTTTTTTCTCCATGCTGTGTTGTGTGTGTGCTTGCTGGTGCTGGAACAAACACTAAGCACATATCTATATGTCTGAGGTCACAGGAAGAGAGTGGGACTATTAAAATCATTTTGCATTAATAATGCTGGACAACCCAGCAGGCATATCTCATCAAAGATATATTAAACATGCCCACTATTCTTCATTTTCAAATCATTTGAAGGATTATCAGCACAACCCAAGTTTCTCCTTAAGTAGGTAAAAGAGTGCATGGAAATATCTTATTATATCTTGGATCTATAATAAGGAGAACTTATATTTAACATGTTTCATTTCCATTGGAAGAAATAAATACAAGTGGCCCTATTATAGAAGTTGGAAGGGAAATTTTTAATTTTTGATACTGAATGCATCATTTTGGTCCATGCTCAACATTCTCAGTGGCCATATTTTCTGCAAACACTGAAGTTTAGGCTGAAAACTATGGGTTGATTTTGTGCAGACTTTTGGGGCAGAACATTTAAGATATTCTAAGCTTCTCTGAAAAACTCAAACTTGATGAGTGACTTCAAGTTCTTGATGCCAAGAACTAAATTAAATCGTGCTGGTAAAGTTGTACATATGTACCCACTGAGGCTGCATTAACAGGACAGTCAGCACAGAGCTGGGAATCATTTGCTTTGGGAACACAGTTACACTGAGGCCTTTACCAGCAGGGAAAACTCAAATTAAAGTTATAATTTCCCACTTGAGAGTCATCTGCTTAGTAGAATGGCCCCAAATGGTGTTTTCTCTACACATTTTACTGAGCTCAATGGCTGGAACCAGGGAGATCCTGTAATAATCCTCCTACCTCCAACACACCCGCACATCCTTAGATTTCTAGACCATTCCTTGGCATCACGTCTTGAAGCAATGACAACAATCCCACAATCTCAATCTATAATTAAGTCAAATAATTGAAAAATATTCCCCTCTCATAGGAATTATAAAAATCCATTTGTTGAATTGAGGAGAATGTTGTCCGTTTTTGAAAGAAGACAACACTGTATGATTTCACTTGCATGTGGAAGATAAAAGAAAGCAAGCAAATGAGCCAACAAAACAAGACAAAAACCACTCCTTAGAGTCTAGTAACAGAATGGTAGTTACCAAAGCGAGAGAGGGGCCTGGGGGAAGGGTGCAGAGGGATATAGATCGAGGGGTTGACTGGATGGATGGTGATGGGTGGGGTGTGGCATGTCCAGGTGTGAAGCTGTGCACCGAAAATGTAGACAGCCTTGTAAACCGATACTACCTTAAAAAAATTATAAATGAAATACACAGAGCAATAGCTATTCCTTACATAAACTACAAAGATAAGGGTCTGCCCTAAAAAAACTAAAAATTCAGAAAATAAGACCTTTTAGACCAGGCACAGCAGTCCTGTGAAAAGTGAAGAGCACCAAGAGGAGCCAGACTGCCTGAGATCAAGTCCTTGTTCTCTCATTAGCAAGGGCCTGCTGAACTAACCCCTTCCACAAGTGCCTTGATTTCTTCATCTGGAAATGGGGAGTGTTGGCCATAACAGCACCTACCTCACAGGGCTATGGTAAGGGGCAAGAGAGTCACATCTGAAAAGGGCTTAGTACTGTGTCTTAGTACATAGTAGCACTTTTAAAGTATTTTGTGACATAAATAAACAAACTGGGAGAGAAAGAAAGAGCTGCCAGCTTTCAGGACTCAGACTATCAGCTTACTGGCTTTGTCTTTGTCATGTGGGAGTAACAATGCATACTTGGCTTGTAGAAATGATGTAAACATTGACACAAACAGAGATTACTCAGTTTTAATTGAGCATTTTAAACACGCTAGGAGGGAGGGAGGGAGTCCCCGCTCCTCTGAATGTGCAGAGGGCTCCCCTGGCCGCTGTCAGGCTTGGCCACTCTGCCTCTCCCACTGGGTGAAAGCTCTGGCCAAGTAAACAGGAGTGCACCACGGAGTCAAGTTTCTTATCCATGCTCAGGCATAAATATGTTCTCGCTCCCCCAAAGCCTGCGAGCTACATCTGCAGGCGGTAGCATTTTTCCTCCACGGCATTTAACTCATCTGACAGCAACAAGCTTTTGGGCTATAATCTGTAATTTAAAATCAAGTGGCTTGTTTTACCTACCCGGCACGAATAAACTATCAATGAAAGTGTTTACGATGACCTTGGGAGGGCGAGCCAATATATCTTGATAAAAGCCAGGCTGCGCGCCTCTGATTAGCTGGTGTCAGCCCGTGCGTCCTGCGCGGGGCGGGCCGGAGGGCGGCGCGGGTGGGGGGTGGGGGGGGCGGCTTATGTAACCGCAGCGCCGGCGGCTGCGCGCACCGCTAATTGGTACCCGCCACAGCCTCACCGCTCGGTGACTCCGGCAGGAGGGCGGTTCGGCTTCGATTTAATTACCTTCCCCAGGGGCTGCTGAGGCCCCTCTGCAGCTCGCCGCGCAGGAGGAGGCGGCACTACAGCCCAGAGGCCTCCTGGATGTGGGCACGAGGCAATTGCGCCTTAAATGCCCTCGTGGGGAATGTGCCCCCGTAGGGTTTCTGCAGGCACATGAACAAGACACGTTTCTGAAAATCAAGCTGAGCCTTGAGAAAGCTGAGCCGCGAGGGAAGGCAGGAGGTCCAATCCTCCACTGACTGACCTCTCCAACCTAGGGGCTGAGCCAGAAGGGAAAGGACGCCCTGGTGGGGTTCAGGGCCTGAGGAGGGCCCCCAGAGAAGGTTGTTCTTGCTTGAGATTAAAAGACAAGCCCCTGAGGCTACTGTCTGTAAGAAAGAGAGGTGTGTGTGTATAGGGTATGTTGTGGGTAAGGGTATGTGTGGGCGTGTCTTGTGTGCTGTGCATGTACCCATATGGGCGTGTGGTGGGGGATGCATGCACGTGTGCACCTGTGTGTGTTCACCGTGTGTACATGTCTGTATGGCACCTGGGTGTGTATGCATGCATGTGCAGTGTGTGATTGCACATTTAGGCTACAGTGACATGTTGTCATCCTTACTTGATTGATGCCCTGATGATCTGGGCCTCCCTGCGGGAGAAATAAATTTTACAACAAAATTTAGGCCAGAGTGTCAACAGTGAGGCCCTATGGCACAGGTGTGCTGGTGAAAACACCCTGTGAGGACACACATCACCCCTTCCCCGGAAAGCTGTGAGCAGCCCAAGGAAGCCTGCTGTGATTGCTGTGCCTCTAGAAAACCTGGACACCGAGTGAGACACACTTCCAACCTGAAGAAAATATACCAGGCACTTCAAAGAGAGCAGCCAGTTTCAGAAAAGGTCACATTCGGGAGAAGAGAAAGTGCCTCTGTATTTGTCACTGTCTCTTACAGGTGAAAAGAAAAGGTAGATAAACAGAACTTCCTTGTGGGGGATTCCAGCCTGGCTGACACTGGCGGGAACTTGTCTGGAGTTTGTCTCAGTTATTGTGCCCTCACTCCTGATTTTAAGTGCAGGTCTGAGATGGCTTTCCCGGCCTCTGAGTCAATGCATTTTGCCTCTGCTGTTTTCCAGGGCTCAGAGGACATTCCATGCACCGATGACCTAGGTCAGAGTACTTTCTACCTGGTGATGCCTGTTTCTCTGGCCTTCTTTTAAGGAACATTCTCACATAGAAAAAGTAAAGCTTCCAATTGTAGGCATACCTATCATTTTTTAAAAATACCACCCATTAATTTTTATTTAGAAAAGTTAAGTCCACAGAATGGAGAACATTTTGACATTAGAAAAGAAAACTCTAAAATGCAGCTATAATCCAACCACTCAGAGATAACTCTATTTTCTTTGCCCATAGGAACTGTATTTTTCTTTTGTCTGATCATACTATGTATTTTGTGCAGTCAACTTTTTTTGGTTAGTTAATATAATGTGAATATTTTTATTCCATTAGTTATTCTTTTACATGTTTTACATGCATTGTTTATATCTATATCAGCACAATGCTTTTTTTAAATGTCATCAGTTTCAATACAATAGAAGACCCTAGTATCTTATTTTCTGCATATTCCTTATTTCCAAATATTGTGAACTTACTCTTACACCTTATACTTTCTTGGTTTAGTGAACAAAGGAGGATCTAGCTTCTATATATTTTCTTGTAGGAGAAAAAAACAATGTGAATGGAGCCCTCCCGCTCCCCCCCACCCGCAAAAGCATATTACACAAAACTTTTTGTTCTCTGTTACAGCAGTTAAAAGAAAATGTAGGAATTTGACTTCTACTAGTTCTGATTGTTGAGTTGAGTGTTTATTTCCCTATACTCTGAAAGGTGTATATTTTCCTTTGGAGTAGATTCTACTCAGGACTCAGAGACCGGGAAAGCCATCTCAGATCTGCACTTAAAATCAGGAGTGAGGGCACAATAACTGAGACAAACCACAGACAAGTCCCTGCCAGTGTCAGCCAGGCTGGAATCCCCCACAAGGAAGTTCTGTTTATCTACCTTTTCTTTTCACCTGTGAAAAGGCAGTGAAAATGGCGTGTGCTTGAACTGGCCCCAACCAAATGCTCTATCTCTAACAGAGAAAAAGCGGAGGCACAAGAAAGCACACATACTTGCTAAACCAAGCGCAGCCCAGCCTCTCCCTCTGCCCTCACACTCTTGGCACAGGTAATTTGGATGCACCCAATGTACTTTTTCTGTCTCAGTGAACCCACCTACAAAAGGAAATACACTTAGACCGCTTCATTACTAGCATATTTCCAATAACCCCCGAGACATGGAAGTGGGCACTGATAGAAGCCTTTTTCTGGCCAAATATTGTGCTGAACTGATGAATTTCCATACTCCTTTTAAGGGTACTAAAGAACAGACTCATATGCCCCGTGCCAAGCCACTTCATGGAAATAAAAACTTAAAAAAAAAAAACCAACAAACCGGCACTACCTTTGGGGTCTGGATGAATGCCCTCCTATAACATTTCTGGCCTGCCTAAAAGTACAGTATCTAGCCTCCTGATCAGATATTCAAACCCTTAAAAGACAATCCTCCCACGGGGATTACAACTGAGATAGAAAAAGGCACAAAATGATGTAAAAATAAACTATTATATTATTTTCAAAAAGAAGAAGACACTCCTTTATTTTGTACTTGTATCTCTTTCTACGTGATGATAAAAGAGGAAAGAAAAAATGACAACTCACTTTCATAGCAAACTGGATACCTGTTCGTTCGTCAACTTGATAGGAGACACAGAGCATAAACAACCCGAGATAGGCCACCAAGCAGACCTGCAACGGGAGCGGGGACAGAAAGGCATAATCAGGGCACGTCATGCATTCTGTGACATCAGTCTCGGTGCCTCTCACCAGCTCCACCCTTGTTACTGAGGTGCTCATTTCCTCTACTTATCTTTATGTGCTATTTTCCCCCTTCAGCTTGTGAACAGTGTTAAAACAGTAAACATGGATTTATTTAGTTAGCCGCTACTTATATTGTTTTGATGTGCCAGGTGCAATGCTGGGTCCTACAGTGAGAACACTGATGAACGCAACTTCTTTCACCTCAGTAAGCATGAGGTCCATGGTGTCTCGTCAGTCCAGGCCAAGATCAGTGTACACACCATTCCCAGGCAGAACATTACTTGTTAACCACTATTCAGAGAAGTGTAAAAGAGAATGAAATAACGCCAAGACAGGCAATCACAAAAGCCATGGACTTGCAGTGGTCCTTGAAAGGGATGATAACAGTAGTGATCCCTAACGTTTACTGAATACTCACTTATCTAATCATTGCAAACCCTAGAAAGTAGGTGCTATTAGGATCATCATATTATAAAAGGGAACAGAGCAGACATAGGGCCCAGGATATTATCTAACTCATGTCAGAAGAAGGTTACCACACTAGGTGGGCCAGGGTGCCGGGGGCAGCAGGCAGAGTGAGTGAGTGAAAGAGGTGGAGAGGACAGGCACAGGAGCCGGATTGCATGGCTGTGGGGACTGAGCAGAACTGCCTGGAAAGCAGGACAGAGCGATCGCCAAGGTTGTGTACATCAATGAGGGAAAGAGGATTGCCTGGCCGGAGGAAGGCAGGCAGGAAGAATGGCAACTTGGAAAAAAAAAAAAAAAAGAACTCAAATTTGCCTTTCCTTTTCAGTGCAATGAGATTTGGGAAACTGATTGCAAGTTACTAGCCAAAGAATTACCTATTCCGCATTCAGACCTTAAAATGTTGCTCAGTTTTGCTTTGGGATAGAAAACAGCAACAAAATTGCATTTCCTGATAAGCAACATTTTTCTAGACAGATATTGGAAGAGTGTCTGGGAGTCACCTGGAAAATCATTTAAGTATTCTAAGTTTCTAACCCCTGGGGCAGCTTCATAGCTGGCACCATCCCTACTGGTGGATGAGGTTGGGTAAAACTGTTTACCTTCAAAGCCAACAGAGCATTTTCTTATTTTGTTGAAATAAGACTGCATTATCTCATGATGTAAGTTTCAGGTGCATAAACATGTGTACCTGCTGCATGAAGATCACACTAAAAGCAGTTCAGCTCCTCACCATACAGTGGACCTCTGGATCTGCTTGCTAACCTCCCTCTCTCTTTCCTCTGGTAACCACTAACTGGTCTTAGAGTCCAGACTCGTTTTTACTCCCTTAGTTCATCTTTGTAACACAGAGCTAAGGAGCCTCTCTATCCTGTTCATTCCTTGATTACAAAAGTACGGCGCCTCTTGTGCCTTCATGGATCCCCAAGCTGAGAGTTGTTCATGTTTCTACTGGGCACTAAAGCCAAAAGCCAAAAATGCTATTATCACACAGGTGTGTCCTTCACCAGGACTGGCTACTGGCTTAAGTGCAGCAGGTTAGAGCCCTGTGGAGAAGCACAGCCTCAGGTGAGCATGGCAGCGACCAGAGGACGCCGCAAGGGCACAAGGCAGCTGCTTCTGGTTTCTGGAGACTGCGCGGCGGGTGCCCTTTCCAAGTCAGAGGAGCAGCTCTTTTAAAAAAATATTAAAAATATTTAATTAAAGGACCAGTTTGAGAACATATATAAGGGACTATGTATCTCACCTTCAGGAATCACAAAATTCTAACATGGGAAGAAAAGGCTGGGGTTTGTTTGTTTGTTTATTGGCAACAAACCAGAAGGCAGCTCCTGAACCTGCTCTTCGGGGCTTCCGGTGCGCCTGAGCGGAGCTCCTGCAGGCCTTCCTGTGTGTTCAGTATCAGCCACAGGTGAACGGGTGCGGCTCACAGAACACTATGCATCCTAGGAGGCTGCTGTGCCGAAGCTGGCAATGCTGACACATAACTATTTGCCTTTACAAGAGACACATTCCAAACATCAGACCTAACTGAGAGGATTCTTAAAAACTAGAATCTTTGCTTGCTCAAACACACCCACTTGGGTTGTGTCTCCTGCACTGCAGCCCTCATTTAGCCTGCTTTTCTGAAAGTTGTGGTACTAGAACCTAGGGCAGCAAGTTCGAGCATTCATCAATGCACGGAACCTAGTCTGCAGTGTGTTCTCCATCCAGTGGGGGAGAGGAGAGCGAAGTGACAATACCATGTCAACCTGGAACCACGTCTGCTATCATAGACAGAAGCTGGGTTAACCCCATTGCTTGGGAAACTTTCTGGAGGAAGCGGGTTTTGAAAAACAAACAGAAAGTAGGGGAGGAAGAGCAGTGAGAGTACAAGGAGGCCCAAGATACGGAGAAACGCAGAGTGAACATGAGGGGGGTCAATACCCTGGCGCAGAGGGTGAGAGAAGAAAAGGAGAAAGACGTGCCTGCAGAGACAGACAGGAAGTTGGCCAAAGGGCCTTTTACCTCAGTCACACATGGTGTGTCAGTTTTGCCCATTCCCTTTGGTTGTGGAACATCGGATTGGGGAGGGAAGGCTAGCTAAGTAGCTGTTCATCTCTGGAGAAATATGGGGTGGGGCGCCTGAGCTGTTGTAGTAAGGTAGACAGTGGGTATGTTTGAGTGACAGCAAGGAAGCACCCCAGAGGGTGCAAGAACAGCTGAATGTAAGGGCTGAGGAGAGGATGGCAGGAAGGTGCTCAGCTACCTGGCTTGAACTGCCAGGAGGATGGTGTTGAATTGGAAGGCAATGACACAAGAGGAGGCAGATTGTAAGTGGGAAATGTCCACACCATGTGAACTCAAAGATAAGCCATGTGGGTCTAGAACTCAAAAAGGAGATCATGGCTGGAAATGAACACCATTAATTACCACCAAATAATCACTATTAATAAGCACAGGTGAATCCTGGACCATCCAGAGAGGGTCTAGTAAGCACAGAAAAGGTTTAAGAAAGCTTTCCAGTTTTGAAGAAACTGAGTCTTTAAGGTTCTCCTTTTGTTTGCATTTTCTTTTCATTGAGGTAACATTAGTTATAATACTATGTAGGTTTTAAATGTACATCTACATCAAAACCCTGTATCAACTGTACATATCATCCCACCAAATGCCCAGTCACCATCCACCACCAGCCAGTCTGATCCTTCTACTCATTCCTTCCCCACTTCTCTACTACCATTCTATTGTGAGAGTCTAAGAAGAGGCTTTCATTTTTATTTTGTTTACTCAATTTCTTCTTTCTCTATATTCCACAAATGAGTGAGATCATTCTGTATTGGTCTTTCTCCTTCAGACTTATTTCACTTAGCATAAGATTCACCATATTGTCACAAATGGCAAGATTCATCTTTTTTCTGACTAAGTAGTATTCCACTGCATATTAGAGAACACGTATTCTTAATTCACTTTTGACATGGGTTGTTTCCATAGTTTGGCTGTTGTGAATAATGCTGTAATGCACATAAAGGTGCATCTATCTCTTCAAATTAGTATTTTCACGTTCTTCAGGTAAATATCAGTGTAATCACTGGATTATTAGGTAATTTTTTTCACTTCAAATTTTTCTTTTTATATTGCAGTAACAGTGGTTTACAGCACCATGTGATTCAGAGACAGGATCACACCTCCTCCAACACATCCTCTAATTATTTTGAATAGAAAACATCTCAAATACTCTTTTTAGGTTCTAAATCATTCTAAATCATGCCATGTTGAAATACTACAACACTGGTCATCCTTGTGGATTTTTAAAAAGAGCATTTGTTATGGAGCCTGAATCAATTCAACATATTTTAATTTCTCTGTCTTCTTATAGGGCTCCAGGGGGAGACTTCATTTTCTCACCTATAACTTTGCACATCAGAGCAATACTTCCTTATCAGAGCGTTTATTGGTATTCAGTATAAGTACTGTCTAGGAGGGCAGTATTTACTGCATCCTTAAAACTGAAAGCTTTATGGCCATGGGCAATTTCTCATGCCAGACCAAGGGTCTTATTTCCAAAGGAGACAGGACGTGGACATGCCTGAAACGCAGCATGTTCTGGCTTCACAGGCAGGCCAGGGGAGTTCATATTACAAGCAATAGCAATGCAACCCACCAGGCCACCAGGCCTATCAGAAACAACATTCCTGGAACCTAAGCCAGAGCTCCCATTAGATATGGTGAGGCAAGGCTCATGGAAAGGAAAAGAGGCGTTTAGGAAAGGTTTTCAAGAAAGCACTCACTGGACCAGATACCCAGGCCTGAGATGATGGTGTATCCCTCACTACAGTGCTATAGAGAATTGAGAACACCAGTGCTGCAAGGGCAGTGGGGGTGGTGAGCCACGAGGAGCTTTCAAGATGAGGTTCATGTACAGAGTACATATAAGTGGGTAAGAGAACATACCATCATTTTCAATGGAAAAAAGGAAAAACACAATTACCATTTTTGCTAAACTCTTTTTCCATGTGTTTCTACAATTTGTTTAGTATATAGAGAACACCTAAGTCCTCATTTCCACAGTCTATCCAAGGCTTTTCTTTGTCTACACAGTCAGGATGGCAGTTCTCCCATGAGTTCGAAAGTTAAACAGAGTTGGGATGCTCTCTGAATGTTAAGTCCATCTCTAGATGCCTGGATCTTGTCACATGCTGCCTTTGCTTTTGGTATCTGGCCTGCAGTGCCTTTTGAGGGCTGGCATTAGGAATGAAAGGTGAATACTGGACCAATGTTAGAGATTTACCTACGTCTTAATCTTCCTTTTCATGTTGGCATGGCTAGAAGTTATCAGCTTAAAACATTGTGAGAATGTGAATTATTGGTATTTATTTCTCTCCATGTCATACATATTTACATTCTAGTCTTGTGACATTCACACAACCTCCAATTTATTTGTTTTCTTCTTTGTGTTGTCAACAGAGCTGCTTGACAGGGCTATC